AGATATATGTAGCGTCGACGTGACACTGAGGTCTACCGAAGCTACCGAATTAGATGAGCAGCAAAGAATCGCACTAAATAATGTGTTGAGAGAGCACCATGATGTATTTGATGAAACCGGCCCAGTTACGCCCTACGCTCAACATCGAATACAGACACAGGAGCATTTACCGATTGCCAGTGCTCCATACCGACTTAGCCCATCACGCCAAGCTAGTCTGAGAGAGAGGCTGGATGATATGTTGGCTAAGGGGATCATAGAAGAGAGTGATACTGCATGGGTGTCACCTGTAGTACTGGTCCCCAAAGATAACGACGATATAAGGGTATGCGTGGACTACCGTCGTTTAAACAAGATTACTGTTCCAGATCGCTACCCATTACCGAGAATAGACGATTTACTACACGCTGCTAAGGGATGTGAGTACATGTCAAGTCTCGACCTTCAATCTGGATATTACCAGATCGGCATCCTCGATGAGGACAAAGATAAAACTGGATTCATAACGCCTTTTGGAGTGTATCGTTTCAACAGAATGCCGTTTGGGCTGATGAATGCAGGAGCTACCTTTCAACGTTTAATGGACCGCTTTAAAGCTACTCTCGACTCGGTATCCATTCTGGTGTACTTAGATGACATTGTAGTGAGATCAGCGTCTTTCGGCAAACACCTAACCGATCTAAAAGTAATTTTCACTCATCTAAGGAAGTTCAAACTGAGGGCCAACCGCCGAAAATGTAAGTTTAGCTGCGACACCATCCGATACCTAGGGCACGTCATCACCAAGGCTGGTATCAGTACGGACACAGCGAAAGTAGATCCAATTTTGTTACTACCAGAGCCTAAAAACGTCAAGCAGCTTCTCTCTTTCATACAGACATGTTCTTGGTATAGAAGGTTTATCCCAGACTTTGCCCGGAAGGCGAGACCCCTAACGAACTTGACGAAAAAGAAATCTGTCTGGAAGTGGGAAAAGGCCCAGAAGGACGCCTTTGCGGAGCTCAAGAAAAGTCTGATGACCGCACCCATTTTAGGACAAGCCGACGATAGTCTCCCTTTTGTGATAAAGACAGATGCCAGCTCCTATGCTCTTGGGGCAGTATTAGTCCAGGGGGAGGGTGAGAACGAGCACCCTATAGAATACGCAAGCCGACTGTTGACCGATGCGGAAAAGAATTACTCGACCACGGAGCGCGAAGCTTTGGCCATTGTATGGGCCGTGTCCAAATTCCGAGGGTATATAGAGGGGTCCGAGACGATTTTGATTACTGACCACCAGCCATTGAAGTGGCTCATGAGCCTGAAGACTCCTACAGGTCGACTAGCTCGATGGGCACTTCAGCTGCAGCCGTATAACCTGAAGGTTCAGTATGCACCCGGCAGGGTCAACGTAGTAGCGGATTTTCTGTCCAGACCGCCATGTGCCACCTATTCCGAGGACTGCCGCCTTTGCAACGTAGTTATAGACCTTCCTCGTCAAACTGAGAAGGATATGAGATCGAAACAGCTTTCCGATCCTGAACTTATGGTCATCATATCAGCACTAGAGAACCCTGATTTTCAAGAGACCGATCGTAAGTGGTTTATCCGTGGCTACCTTATGCACCAAGGGGTCCTCTATCGTTATGGTGAGGGAGAAGAGGATGACAACGCTAAGTTAGTAGTCCCTCTCTCTGACAGACCAGATATCCTAGAGGCACACCACAGCGCAGAGACTGCTGGCCATTATGGCATCGACAAAACTTACCACAGAATTTCTAAACGGTACTACTGGAGCAAAATGAGACAGGACATTGCCAAGCATGTAGCCGCTTGTTTAGAGTGTCAACGATACAAAGTCGCCAACCGAAAACCAGCTGGACTAATGCAGACTTCAGCGAGTAACCAGCGTTTTGAGGTACTGGCTATCGACCTTTTTGGTCCACTACCAATTTCCGATGATGGTAATACCTGGATATTTATTGTAGAAGATACCGCAAGTCGTTGGGTGGAACTGTTTGCGCTTCCAGAAGCGACTGCGGAAGCATGCGCCAGTGTCCTCTTGGATGATGTGTTTCTACGTTATGGGTTACCCCGTCGGATAATAAGCGACAACGGCGTTCAGTTTATTTCCGCTGTCATCCAGAAGCTCACGTTCTGCCTGGGTATCAAGCAATCGTTTATTCCCATGTACCACGCGGAAGCAAACCCAGTGGAAAGGAAAAACCGGGATTTGAAGACCCAACTCTCCATCTTAGTTGGAAGGGAGCACCGTTCTTGGAGTAAACACTTAGCTGCGATACGATTCTCTATGAATTCAAGCAGATGTGACAGCACAGGTTACAGCGCTGCCTATTTGACCTTCGGACGAGAGCTACGGACGCCATCCGATGTTACGGACGATCTCAGTTCGATTGTCCAGAATGAGAATTTTATCGCCGAAATTTCACCAAAGTTACGGCGATTAGCCGACACACTTGTACTCACGAAAGAGATTACGGAAGCGACGCAAGACCGCAACCAAGAATACGAGAATCTGAAACGCAGGCCTGGTCCAACCTACAAACCAGGCGATAGGGTTCTGTTACGCTGTCACTTCCTTAGTAACGCCTCAAAGGGCTATTCTGCTAAGTTAGCTCCCCGCAGGGACGGTCCATATGAGATAGTTTGCCAACGAGGTCCTTGTAGTTATTCCATCGCCAGCCCGGACGAGCCGAACGTTCCTTTGGGGGTATATCACGCCTCGGACCTCACTCTTTATAAGGGTGATACTGGACCTCCACCTCCAGCCGTAAGGAAGCTACACAAACGCGGCAGACCCAGGAAGGAGGAAGGCCCTTCGGACTCCTCTGTTACTCCTGATCCACAGAGTCGCCCTGCAGTTTCTGACAGCTCGTCGAGGCGACTTCGCAGTCAGAGGGGGAGATTGTAGCAGGCCGCCCCTGGATTACCTCTACGCGCACCCAAGGCGCTGAGTTCCCGAGTTCCAGCGAGACGGGTCGACCACAGTCGAACTTCCCCACTGCCGAGCCTCCCGGAGGACGGCGCTATAAAAGCACGATTCAGCGGAGAAATTCTCATTCCGCATTCAGCGATTTGAAGTCTCAACCACGCGAAGGAGAATACCCTATGCTATAGACTTTCGAGTTTCTTTTAAGCTGTAATGTGTGAATCGTAGTTAGGTATGAAATAAATAAAAATATTTAGCGTTCTTTCCTCGGCTCGTTATTTTATTAATTTATTACACCACCCTACAATATATATATATATATATATATATCAATTAAATCAATGAAGTAGTTGACGACTTTCATTTGCCTATTATTGACCGATACAACCGCTGCTATTCAACTATTGAATATATTTTAAATTTCATCAACGGTCGTATTTTTTGCTATATATATATATATATATATATATATATATATATATATATATAAATATATATATATATATATATATAATATATATATATATATATATATAATATTATATATATATATATATATTATTATTATATATGTATATATATATATATATATAATAATATATATATATATATATATATATATATATAAATATATATATATATATATATATATATAAATATATATACATATATATATATATATATATATATATATATATATAATATATATATATATATATATATTATATATATATATATATATAATATATATATATATATATATATATATATACATATATATATATATATATATATATACATATATATATATATATATATATATACATATATAATATATATATATATATATATATATATATATATATATATATATATATATATATATATATATATATATATATATATATATATATATATATATATACTTGATTGCCATTTTTTTGGTTACAAATCGAATATAAAAAGAGGTGCTTTTATAGAAAGATAGAAAATAATCGAATAAGAGGAGAAAATTAATATAATATTCAATTATCCACACTGAATACACGACAAAAAAGTCCTCAAAAATACAACAGTGGAAAAAAAATAAGACAAAGTCATCGCAACTGAACGTGAATTGATATCAAAGGAGCCACTAATTGATGTAGTCGTGGATCGTATTGTTATTAATCCAGACGAAGATTGAGATATCGATGATTTACAATTAAATTCCGACAGCGAAAATATCGACTTTGATGATATTTGAAAATAAAAACAGGTAAATCTATTTTTGTAAGCTTATTTTCACAACCGTTGGAAACAATTTATTTTAACTAAATATCGCAATTCTCAGTATGAAACAAATTTAGTTTTCTAATTTAATAGACTTCCATTCATTCAGTTCATTTTAATGATTATGACTAATAACCTCAGAAAATAACATCCTCTAAAATAATATTCGATTATGCAACACCGCATCAACCAACGTCTGTCTTTTCAAATCGTCACCGTTGCAGTTAAATCTGTTTAGCTGTACTCATAGATTAGGGGGCTGTACTAACTAAAAATACTTTCCCTGAACTTAAAATTTTTAACTTTGAGCTATATCTCAAAGCGATATTTCAAAGAATGATTAGAAAAAGTCATTTTACCTGTACTGTAATAAGCACAATAAAGTCATTAAACAACAAATTTAAAGTGTGTGAAACGCGGACAATCATTTATTTTTTCGTCCGTTGATACTGTAACATATCTAAAAGAACCCCAGATAAAAAATGAATACTTAGAAAGTAAATGCGAAACCATAATAAATAAACAAACAAATAAGTATATTGTACTTAAATCTCTTTGAGGTAGGTTTAGTAATATATTTTTGTAAAAATTCATCAACGTTTTAGACTTTTATCTAAATTTTGTTCAAGAATCTTTTTTTTTTGTATAAATCGAAATTTGATTTTAAATTGTAAAGCTAGTTGCATAATCTATGGAGGATAATAAAGTATCAGTCACAGAACCATAGATATAAAAATTCTTAATGTCTATGCAAAGAACAACGGTCGTAATGTCATGTAAGTTATTTTGACACAATGTACAAATACATAACCTTAGTTTTTAAAATAATATAATTGTAACTATAGATTTGTTAAGACTTTCAATGTCTTTACAGTCTAAAGTAGTTTTAGGTGCAGCTTGTGTTTTCTCAGCAAGCATAATTGGATACGTACATTATAAACAAAATTTAGATAGGTAATATTCAAATCTGCATTTTCTGTCATTAAATGCTCTATAACCATCATCTTGATACCCTTATTCTTTTTTTTTTGTAGGGAACAAATGCATTCTGGAGTACTTAGGGATATGGAAAGGCGCCAAAGGAGGAAACAGGAAAATTTATACGTTCTTCAAAAGCAGATTGATCTTGCCAAAGAATTGAAAAAGCAGCAGGATGACAACATTACTTAATTACAGAGTTCTTAAATATTTGTAAATATTATATGTAGATAGTGTTTTCAATATAAATAAACGTTTGTAAATAATTATTTCGAAAATAAAAGGGTACTGATAAAAAACTGTTTTGGAGAACTCTGTAAATGAAGAAAATAGTCAGATGCATACTAAAGTATTAGCAAATAATTAAATGTCTATATTCTTTGGTATTAGTTTGCATTGGTTTATTCTGTTGGATTTGTTACTGTATAAAGACAAAAAGTGCATGAGAAAGTTTGAATGTTATAACAAATATAAACCATTTCAATATCACCCTAATTATTGGCAAAATTAAAGATTGAAAAGATCCAAAACAACACTGATAATTTGAAGATATAAGAAGAAAATAACCTGCTTGATGGATGTGATAGCCAAATTAAGTACTAACCAGAATGATGCCACAAAATTGGGGAGGGTTGTTAGGTTTCTGTAGATTTCTCTCATTGATGAAAGTGGTGACAAAGCAACCCTTGTAGCTTGGGGTAATATATGTCGTTCAGATGTGAACTTGAAAATATACAAAAATGAGAATCTTAGCTTTTGATGCAGAATTCTAACTGTATGTTTATTAGTGTTTTATTACTGAGATAGTCTTTAGATGTACATTCTGCAAGAAGGATATATCTCAGGATGGAACAATGTTTATCTATCCATTGCTCTATGTGTTTGGTAAGACAAAAGTTTTATTAAACAGATAAAGGCTGGTTTCCAAAATAAAGAAAAAACAGTCGATTGATGAATAGTCGAAACAGAAAAACAGGGGTCACATTGTGGTCCTCTACTTTTTGTCCCCTTTGTTAACGATGTTGAGAAAGTCATTAAGTATTCAAAATTTCTCAACTTTGCTGATGATAAAAAAATTTATAGCCATTACTTGTCAGTTTGATCAAAATCAGCTACAAGAGGATCTCAGCAGGTTTAGCGATGGGTGCAAACTAAATGAATTAAAATAAAACATTGATAAGTGTTGTGTTATTACTTTTCACAGGAAAGGAAGCAAACAATTTTAAATTACGATTATAGCATTGATATACTCTTCTGCTTCTTCTTCGTCTTCTTCTTCTTCTCCTTTTTTTGTTTCTATGGCTTCCACGTTATGGTGATACGCCAGCTCAATTTGGTGGTGACCCCTATAAAATCTGACTCTAAACCAACTCGAGGTCACTTACTTGTGCCGGTGCTTGTGCCAAATAATTTTGTAGAAAAAAAATTCATTATTAGTTAATAGGTAATAAGTTATATTAGTAAACACTTCAAGAAGTATTGAGCATTGTCGATTACAAATTTAATTTATCAGTTGAAAGAAATTTTATCAAAATGCTGACTGATTCTTCAGTAAGTTTATTTAATATAGAATATATAGTAGTTAGTGAATTATAATTCATATAAATGAATTTTGAGTATAGGTAAAAACTTGGAATGATCCTTATGGGGCATTCAAAAAATATATGAATTAGGTTCTCTATTAGGCCATATTCACAGTAAGGTTGTCCAAAAAATTCAGTTTGAAAAGATGTTGACTTGTTAAACAATGACCGGTCCGCATTCTTATAATAGTTGTAATGTGTCTCCTATTTTTATATGAAAAGTTTTGAAACCATGTCTTATCAGGGAAAATATTTTGTACTCTGTAATACTGATACGATTTTTTTCTAAATAAAGTTTTCCAAGTGTTTTTGAATTTGTTTTTAATTTTATTCTTAATTATGGGTAACACGTCTTGAGAATCTAATTTCATATTCAAAGGAACATTAAAATCTCTTCCTATTTTGGCCAGTGTGTCAGCTTGTAGATACTCCATTCCCAAGGTTAGTAAACCAATTTTCGATAGATATTGACAGATATTCGGTAGATATTGTCGTTTCGTACAGGTATCATAATAATTAATATAAGATTAAAAAGTTATTTGCCCATTGAGGGACTTATTATATTTTCGTATTGGATAACAATGTGAAATCTATAACTATTTATGAAAAAATGACGTGCTAAAAAGTATAAAATCGCCCAATTTGCGACTTGCGATTTTCCTAAAATTTTTTTTCGCAAAGACCTATTAAAAGTAGCTCAATTGGCGATAAATCGCCCAATCTGGCCACACTGAACCTACAACACAACAATTCCTATTTCTCAGTATTAATAGCTCAAGTATACTACTATTGCAGACTTCTTTCTTTGAAAAAAGAATTGTTCTAAATAGTGTATACTAAACCCATCAAATTTTGGGTAGTATATATTTAAAAAATATATTTTAGTTATAATTTCACATAACTATTTATTATATGGTGCAGTTAGATAAATATTGTTTTATTTTATTTACTATTTAGTTTTTTTACTATTAATATTGGCTATGAGTACGTGTGCTTGGTTGTATAGTAATTTCCAGCCACTTTTAGTCTGTCAAAAAGTAACTAACTTCGCAAAAAAATAATTACTAAATTCACTAGACAGTTCGGACTGAGAATAGCGAACCGAGTAGCTCTCAGCTCAGCCAGCTGTTTAGGCAGGACTGTGTTAAGGATTTAGGTGTTTATTTTGTTTGTAAATTAGCATTTCGTAAGCATCTAGAGGTCACAGTAAACAGCGCATTTAAACAGTTGTTGTTATTAAACAAATGTTATATCTTTTATACCTATACTTGCTTTACAAAGTTGAGTTGTGGATTCTCACAGACGCTAGCTACAAGAAAATTGACGCTTCTGAAATGTGGCTGTATCATCGAGTCCTGAAGATATCTTATACCGACCACGTTACTAATTAAGATGTTTCATTAAATATACCAAAAAAGAGCTTAACCACAATAAAAACAACCAAAATTGAATACCTCAGTCACATCATGAGGAACAGCGAAATCTATGGGTTGCAGCAATTAATTCTGCACAGTAAAATAGAAAGAAAACGAGGATCAGAGAGGCGAAGGATTTCCTATCTAAAAAATCTAGGTATGTGGTTCAACACAATAACCCCAAATCTTTTGAGATCAGAAGTGTGCAAAATACAGATTGCCATGATGGTCGCCAACATCCGAAACGTATAGGCACTACAAGATGGCGAAGAATTATCTCTTAATTCGAATTCTGGTTTCAACATCCTCTACTGCTTCTTGAAAGATTTCGTCAAAGTATATGTTGAACAGCAGGGGTGATAGTATACATCCCTGTCGGACCCTACTTTTGATTTCGATATGATTGGATTCTCCTTCCTCTGCATGTAGATAGACGGTGTTTAATTCCAGTAAAGATTGCTAATAGTTTTTAGATCACAGGTGTTTGTACAGCTTGTCGTGCTTTAGTGTATCGAACACTTTATGGTAATTGAATATGGTTGAATATTTTTGTTAGGCGTTGGGTACCGTTGGCGTTAAATAGCTTTATGAGTTCAGCATATGCATTGTCATATTGTGGATCATATTCACTAGCAGGGTCTGTGGAGAAGGCGATATAATTTCGAACTCTATAGACTTTTTGGTGATGCAAATATCGTGTTTATACCATTAAACCAGTGCCTCTCAACCTTTTTGTGGCGACGGAACACTTTTAATTACCGAAAAAAATTGCGGAACGCCAAAGCAATAACATGCATATATTGATAAACAAATTAGGAATAGCACATAAATTCTGTAATAAACTTTATTATACGTACTCAAATTTGTAAAATTTTACTTAAAATATGAAAACAAAAAACATTTTTAAAATTAACAAAAGCGTAATTCTCAAAATACATCATATGAGTAAATACTTCAAATTAGTGAGACACTTGTGTCTGGTGTCGTTTGCAAATTTGCTCAATATCAGGCCTGATGTGGGAAAGAGCTACTCTCATTTCTTGTTCTAAGTTTAGCAGCCTTTCCCGTTTCTTATTTTTAATGTTTGTTAAAGATGAGAACCCAAATGCACATAAATAGGACGTTGAAAACTGTATTAAAATACTAATCGCTTTTTTGGCAAGAAGTGGATATTCCTCTTGGACCAAGATCCAAAATTCCTGAACATTCACTTCTGAAAACTTAATTTTCAGAGTACGATCAGATTCAGAGTACGATATGCATGATTTCTTGTTCTTTATCTTCATCACCTTCATTCTGAAGCAGTGGAAACATATCCATTTTATTTGTCTCTAAAATGCGCTTCTTCCAAAATGACAATTTTTTCTGAAAGCTGACAGCTTGTCCGTGGATGTTAAAATATTTTCATTTTTGCCTTGCATACTTGAGTTAACGTCATTTAAATAATTAAAACTATCGGCCAAATATGCCACTTTAGTGCACCATGCATCATTTTCAAAATATGTGGTAAATATGTCATTACCTTCTTCTTGGAAAAAAGTTAACAGCTCCGTTCTAAGTTCATAAATTCGACATAATACTTTGCCCCTTGACAACCATCTTCGGTGTGCAGCAACAAACATTCATATTTTGATTCCATTGAGATGCAGAGTTGTTTAAAAAGACGGGTTTTTAGTGGTCTTGATTTGATGTAATTCACGACATTAACCACTTGGTCTAATACAGATTTCAAAGTAGCTGGTAGCGTTTTTGAAATTAGAGATTCTCTATGCAAGAAACAGTGCGTAGATATGATATTTTCATTTCGCTTTTTTACAAGGGTACAAAAACCTTTTATGGAGCCTACCATGGAAGGGGCACCATTCGTACAAATTCCTACGCAAAAGTCCCATGATAAATTTTTTTTTCTCTAAATATGACGTTATGGAATCAAATACACCCTGACCTATTGTACGTGCTGTAAGTTCTGTGCAGCATAAAAACTGATTGACTATTTAACCTTCGTCGACAAATCGAATAAATCCTAATAAATGAGATTTGCCACTAATATCAGTGGATTCGTCCACCTGCAATGCGAAGTTTTTTTTGTAAAGTTTATTTGTAACTTTTTCCTCAATATCTGCAGATAAATCAACAATCCTCCTTCTTATTGTATCATCCGACAGGAATTTTCCGTATTTTTTACATAATAAACATAATTTTGACCATCTCACAACATGCTGGTAATATAAGAGATTCTGCAACGATGTGTGGTTTGTTTCAAAGCAATTAATTCGGCAACCTTATATGAAGCTATTTG